AAAAAGGGACAAAGCCGAAAGAAAAAAAAGAAGACCCCCCCACCTCCCCTAGAAAATAGTTTATGTTCTAATTTAAAGCTTTTGAGAATCAAGAATGTTTATATTTTGCTGGATGAAGAGCTTTCATCGATAATTCAGGTTGTGTAGACAGATGAAGAAAGTTTCAAAAGAGCCTGCAACATCTGCTAGGCTCAGTAATATGATGTACGATCTGTACTACTATTTGTATACTCGTGTTGCGTGGCCCGAGGTTGATATAATCACTCAAAATGTGTAACTACTATATGCAAAGTGATGCATGGTGCCATACACTGTACTTACCTTGGGTTGAAGGTTAGGGTGCAGCAGGACATATCCATTAGGATCAATGGCAAAGTAATAACCATTTGGACCAATCTTATAAAAAAATAAACAAAAAACAGTGTTAACATACAGTATAAACTACGAGACACCACGTTCTAATGAATGACCACAGTAATGACAAGCAATGTAGTTTCATTATTAGCAAGAAAAAATTTGAATAGTAGTACAGTGGAATCTCAGTGGAAGACAGTACAGTGGAAGTTGTCGAATAAATCGGTTGACGAACAAAACTATGAACTTCAAATTGTCCTGGTTGTTGTATCATAACTCAGTTGCCGAACAAGCCAACAGTACAACACAAGCAGCAAGCGTGAGTGTGTGGCGTAATTCTGCCCTCGAGATATACACATTTATTATTATAAATATTATTATTATATATATTTTATTTTATATATCACCATGGGCAAGGTGGAAAGGAACGTAGTGAGAACAACAATAGAAGTGAAGAAAGATTTTATGAAATCATGAGAACGGTGCTCATGTTTTAGATCTGGCTTTACAGCATGGCTTAGCAAAGTTGTCGATTTGTACCATCCTTAAGAACAAAGAAGCAATAAAAGAAGCTGAGGCTGCCAGAGGAGTGACTGTGATCACCAACCAGAGATCTCAGACATTACAAGAAGTGGAAAAGTTGCTACTGATTTGGATTGATGAAAAGCAGTTGACCAGCAACAGTATTTCGGAGACCATCATTTTTGAGAAAGCGAAGGATGAATGTAATTGCCTTTCCTATTTATAGCTTTATTCTTTATTCAGTTGTGTTTATCTTTTTTTGTTATTGAGACATTAAGATGGTGCCAATGCTCACGGCAACAGCCTTCTGGTCCTACTTTCTCTACTTTTTCTTTGCTCCTTTCACGAAGCATTATCACTAAATGTATCCTATGGATACCTGCAATCCTAAACCGGCAACCGCAGCCAGTTCTCTTGTTTATTCAAGGGCCGAGCTGCTGGCTCAGAGGACAAGTGAGAACGAAATGTATGCATAAATCTAACGTGCAGTTAGCATATCCTAAATTTTATGAGTGACAAAATTCTCATTTTACCTGATAGCAAGTAGTTTAACCTCTTAATAATTTGTTGTATATTTATGCAGAACACTTTCAAATCCATGTCTCAAGGCACTTTCTGTTTTAGCTCTATATGTAACCACAAACTTACTGTAAACCGTGGTGTGAGTTTCTTGATATCACCCAAAGACACGTCAATTCCCATCACCCCAAGAATCAGCTGGTTTTGATGCTGAAAAAAACAAAACAAAAAAAAAAACAACTTTAAATGATCACTTCTGGTTGCCTTCTCCACTGCCAATATAAGCATTTTTTTTGGACTGCACCTCGCCATTCCTGTCATCTATAGTCTTGGTTCTGTTGAAGACTGGTAGTGTTCCTGTTATGACCAGACCCAGTTCCTGCAGGTGGAACAAACTAGCATGTGGCAATGAAGCAAATACAATATTCAACAAAAATTTACAGAAACTATACATTTAAATGATACCTTCATAAAACTATGTTTCTTTTATGTGCACATCCAGTTATTTGTTTCCACAAATGGTTAAGGTTGATTGTACTGTATTAGGTTGAAAAAAAGTTCAACTTACATGAACATGCCTAGGAATGACCAGAAACATAATGTTTTGCGTTTAGCTAATAAAATCTAAAAGCATAAACATGTTAGCCTTTCTTCATAGACTGTAGGAATGAGCCATTTGCCAAACTATATTTGAAGTACTGTGTAAGACAAAAGCAAAAAGTATCGTATTTTTTGGACTCTAAGTCCCTCCAGAGTATAGGTCACACCAGTCAGATAGAGTGCCCTCTAGCTGCGGTCAATGTGAAAATAACGTACGAATACGCTTTCAGTGGTACAGGAGTAACAGATACTGGTACACAAGACTAGAGTGTTCTTTGTGAAATTATATATTTTAATATATAAGTCGCACCTGAGTATTCGTAAGTTGCAAACCCGGCTAAAGGATGAAAAAAGTGCGACTTATAGTCAGGAAATGTGAAAATTATATTTTAAATCTCGTGTACAGCACTGAACATGGCTGTTTTAATAGTGTCCCTTCGAGAAAACACCATCAGCCACAATCAGTATTTGCTGTGCTCAATAATTTACAGCTTGATGTTTTATCATTTGGAATAACTGTCCCACAGTCCTCTTTGGTGTTAGGAGTTGAGAAGAAAACATATATACATGCTTGAAAAAAAGCTCTACATAAACAGTGGTAAGAAAGTACTGCAAGAGAAAGAGAAAGAATATGGGAGTTGACACAGAAACACGTCATACCAAGGCATCTAGGTACACATTGGTCCACTGGACTTGTTTGGCCTGCTTGTCTGCCAGAACCATAGGTCTCCCCAAGACATCGAGGTATTCCTAAAAAGTAAAATATTATGACCAATGTACACAAAGAAAAGTTCTTCAAATTTTGTGATTTTAGTGTGTAATCGGTTGTGATCAGAATTTCGTCGAACTGTTTTTCTCTTTTTCTCAATTAGCTTTTGCTTTTAAAACATCCATTCCATTTGAAAGAATCATACATCCAAATTATTTTGTGATGTTTATGATGATGAACTTCACAGTCTTGCCTGATACAACAGTTCTTATAATTGCTTACAAAAGATTGCATCACAACCTGTGACTTCTGCAAAAGTTTAAAAAGGGTTCGGCACCAGTATTTTTCTCTCTATTCGGGATTCTCTCTGCCCGGTTTCCCTGATGTAAATAGATACCCATTAGTGCCAGAAGAAGAAGAACCAACATCCACCATTGCCTACAGGGATTAGAGCAATAGATGTGTCTTCCTTCTCAATCTCGATCTATCAAAATTAATTAATAATCAAAACCATGTTCAATTGATGTTGTATGTAAACTATAGAATGTCTTCGAAAATCCAAAAAAAAGTAAATTTTTGTTTTAGGTTTTTACTTTAAGGTCACTTCTCAGAACAAAACATAACAACACTTTATTCACAGTACTGGTTAATGCACCTGGAAAAAAAAATATAATAATAAAGTCAACCCTGTTGAAAAGAGAAAAATGAATACAGTTACTTTCAGTATATTCTGGATAAGACACAAAACAAAAGAAAATGGGTTTAATTCAACAACACATCTTCCACCCATTTTTGAACTGGATTCATATTAATATCACAAGTACAGTGGATTTATAAAAAAACCAAAAAAAAACAAAACAAAAAACAGGCAACATCTTAAGGACTGGTACTCCTTCTCAGATAGTAACTTGGTTGTTAGAAGAGTAAAACGAGTGTTAATACTGCATAAATAATTGTATAATTCTGTTGGTTAACTCTGGGGTTGTTTTTGTGTTTAACTGAATGTCAGGAGACTGGTGTAACTATAGCATGCTTGTTAGCGTTTGAATTATACTTTTGTCTATGTTGAGCTTTTTTTTGTTCTATGCAAAAGGAATTCTTAAAAATAATAACTTTATATAATTACACCGACAGTGACTAAAATAAAGTGTAAACCTTACCTGCGTGTTTATTCTGATAGCACCAATGGACGGGATCTCATAGAAGTAACCTGTAATAATTTCAGAATCTACAGTTAGTTATTTATCCCTTTCATGCATGACGGTCACTACAGTGGGCAGCTATTAAAATGTCATTTTCTATGATAAGAATAGGTTTTGATGGCAGTGTTGCATATAAGCCTCTACAGTGGATGCCTGAGAATCACCCAACACTGCCATACAGTGGTCAGCCTTTGCAACTGCAGAATAAAAGAAAATTTGGTGTATAAAAACAGAACCAAATCAGTTCTTATTTTTATGTCTAAAAAGACATAAAAACACTTAGTAACATTTTTTTAACTCAGTATATCACGGGTCATGCATCAAAGGGATAAGGAAAGTGTACAAATGTCAGTGATTAACAGGGAACAGAATCTAAAGTTGGAGTTAGATTTACAGCAGCATGAATTGGATGGGTTATTTCATAGGTATATACGTATGTATCTGCAATCATTGTAATAACATAACATAAAACAAGTATGGAAAAAGAAAATTAACAAATCATAAAATATCAAAAGTACCAGGAGGCAAGGATGTTTATTTTAACACCTGAATACCTTTGTTGGAGCAGGCCATCCACTGAACAGGTCCTTTATCATAGTTGTGTTGTCCCACAGAAAAGGTGAAGATCCTCACCTAAAGCACACATTTAAACAGTATTGCAATCTAAACAAAACGTTTTTTCATTTGCGTTTATTTATTGCGTAACATTACTAGTAAACTGTATTCTAAAGTGTGTATAAACAAATTTAATCTCTGGATCTATAATGGAGAAAATGAAGACACTGCACATATTTTCTTCAGGAGAAAAGGGTTTACTACCACAGTCTAGATAATGCAAGGTAAAAAAATGAGGTAGGGATTATCTAGAAATATAGCTGTTGATTCCAAAGTTTTCCAAAAATAAATTGGAATTTTAAGATAGTGTCTGACATGATTATATTCTTTAGGCAGGTAGTTTACGATGTGTTGTTGAACATCGTTAGTGAGCGTTCACTAAAAGTCAATAAGAGGATGAATTGGCAGCTTAAGTTAACCTATGTTAAGGTGGAATGCAGAGAAATAACAATTCAGGTTTAATGTCTTGCAGAGGGTTCAGTGTGGAGTTGAGTCAAGCTCTGCAGAGAAATAAGAAGTTACCGGAAAAGTAGTGGAAAGTACGGGAGGCAGAAAGGAAAAGTAACAACTGAGGTCAATGATTACCTTTTTGTCCGCATTGTATCTCTCCAATATGGCCCGAGCTCTTTCCTCTCCTCCATCAGTAAACAGCATGATTATTTTATTGCAGTTGGCTCTACTAACATTCATCTAATTACAAAAGAAATAAAAGATTTAGAGATTGTTGTTTTATCTATTATCACATGTAACTTACACACAATCCTACTTTTCGGTCAGTGAAAGAATGTTCTTACATTACAATGTGACTTTCTGGTCAAGGAATACTTGCACAGCATTCATTACTTTAAAACCTATTGTTTTATTTAATGGCGTGTCTGAATTTTACAGTAAGACTAAATAACTGTGTTAAATACACAACAGTGTCATTTTTAATTTTCTGACATTTATGTGTATCATTTTACCAAATTAACTGACCGATCCAGCAGATGGCAGTGAAATACACCTATACTAGCCCTCTGGTATATGTAGTGATATAAGCCCCTGAAGTCCTCTTGGATAAGAAGTAATGTAGGCCTCTAGAGTACTACACTATAAGTTGTGATGTAGGCCTTTAAAACTCATCTGCTATAGTAATGTGGGCCTCTAAAGTCCTCTGGTATAAGTTGCGATGTAGGCCTCTAAAGTCCTCTGGTATAAGTTGTGATGTAGGCCTCTAAAATCCTCTGGTATATGTTGTGATGTAGGCCTCTTAAGTCCTCTGGTATAAGTTGTGATGTAGGCCTCTAAAGTCCTCTGGTATAAGTTGTGATGTAGGCCTCTAAAATCCTCTGGTATATGTTGTGATGTAGGCCTCTTAAGTCCTCTGGTATAAGTTGTGATGTAGGCCTCTAAAGTCCTCAGTTGTGATGTAGATAAGTTGTGATGTAGGCCTCTAAAGTCCTCTGGTATAAGTTGTGATGTAGGCCTCTAAAGTCCTCTGGTATAAGTTGTGATGTAGGCCTCTAAAGTCCTCTGGTATAAGTTGTGATGTAGGCCTCTAAAGTCCTCTGGTATAAGTTGTGATGTAGGCCTCTAAAGTCCTCTGGTATAAGTTGTGATGTAGGCCTCTAAAGTCCTCTGGTATAAGTTGTGATGTAGGCCTCTAAAGTCCTTTGGTATATGTAGTGATATTAGCCCCTGAAGTCTAAAGTATAAATTGTGATGTGAGCCTCTAAGGCATCAGTTTAAAATATGTATAAAATCTCACCATTGAGAGTTGTTCAAAAGCAAACTCAAAGCCTTTGGTGTAGTTTGTTATTCCTTTAGCCGTGATGTTCTGTACAGCATCCTTCAGCACCTTTTTGTTCCTCACATTAGCTTGTACCAGATGATCAAAACATGCTGTTTTCTTCACCCTGGTGTTAAACTGCAAGCAGAATCAAGTAAAGTCTTGAAAAACCATATGCAGGTACAGTTCCATTATAATAGTCAGCAAATGTAGGTGAGATACCTATGGTTTGTTTATTACTGAAATTAGTTCCCCTTAGTGCCTAAAAGAAAACCAATCAATTTTCTCTCACTGCCCCCCTCCCCAGACCCTTATTTTGGGGTCAGATAAAAGACGTCACTTTAAAAAAAAAAAAAAAAGGACAGCAAAATAAAAACAATGAAACGCACGCTCATCCTGGACACACGATACAAGGACAGGCGAGGCCCCCTTTTTTATTACTGCTCCAATTATTAATGTTTTCTAACTAAAAAAAGTCATATCCGGCTGAACTACATGTTGATTGACTGTCAAGTCAATCGGATCGGAAGTGAAAACATTTGGATGGAGCTTTTCTAATGTCCGTAATTTCTAAACTGACAGCCACTAGAGGGCACTGGTGCGACTCATACTCCGGCGCAACTTATATGTGTTTTTTTTTTTTTTTTGACCAGTGCAACTTATACTCAGTGTTTGTCTTCTCCTAATGTGCCAGTCTTAACAACTATATGGTCTACCAAAATTTGGGAATGACTCTTAAATTGAGCCAACATGTCCATCATAATGGGTCTCTAGGCCCAGGAAATAATACCGGTCCTAAAATTAATCTGAAACTTTTTTTTTTTGTATTTAAAATCACTCTTAACTAAACAAATATTTATAATTACTGCAGCATAGTCCTACAAATTAATTTTCTGAGTATTCTCTGTAAGCCTTGATGCCTGGAAATTGGAAAGGTGCGCAGGGTGAAGGACAAAGCTTTGTGTACACACTGTGTAAAGTAAATAAAAGTGTGTAAAAATGAATTTAGCAAGTAGAAGCATTACAAAGGGGGATATGTGCTTAAATACAGATTGGAAGAGGACTACATTAGGTCATAAAAATGATTAGTAAATTATTAATATTATTAGTATTTTTATTAAGCTCATTAATATCTGAATGTACTGCACATCTGTGCTGAGCAACGGACAGATTAACATGGTCAAACACTATCCACGGAACAGCATCCCTTCCTTTAATAGTACCTGTACCTGCAAAATTGAGAGGCGAGTTGGGAAAATGCCGCATTCTAATCTTGTCTTTTTTTTTTTTTTGCATCATGTACCCTCTAACATAAGCAGCACAATTGCTGGAAAAAGAGTGATCTTGTTCATACTCACGTAAACTACATTGACAAAGTCATCATCGGACAAAGTGTCAAGCATCTCAGTGACAGAGGTTCTGATAAGTTTAAGAGTTAGGCCAGACACACTTCCACTCCTGTCAAGAAACACACAACAAGTTCCTTGTCTTGTAATACAGTAGGCCCAGTAGACAAAACTAATACATACACAGATGTTTGTATGTGGTAGAGCAACCAATCAAACGTTAAGGATCAGTTAAGATTAATAAAGGGACTCACGCATCAACGAGGATCAGCATATCTTTGGGGGAAGCAGCTCCTTGGATGTACCTACATCAACGACAATCATTAGAGAGCAAGCAATTATTTTTTTTTTTTTACTTTTACACACATACATACACACAAACTGTATATATAATGCTATAATGCTGCTTCTCTTCTTCCTTTTTTTTTTTTTTTTTACGGACCACGCTTTACTCGCAACGTGGAAGACAGAATGAACAATCCAGTACAGAACAACACATTTGCCGCAAGTCGACAAGGAACCTGTGAACAAATCAATATTTTATTTATATATTTTATATATATTCAGACTTTCTGTATGAATATATTCAGACTTTCTGTATATATTCAAGGATTCATTTCCTGAACGGCATGCCATATATATTTTCTTTTCGTTTCAGCTTTGCCCCTTTTTTCAGGGGTTGCCACAGTGAATCAACGTTTTCCATATTGCCCTGTTCTCTGCATCTTCTACTCTTGACTCCAACTATCTGCAAGTCCTCCCTCACTGCATCCATATATCTCCTCTTTGGCCTTCCTCTTTGTCTCCTACCTGGTAGCTCCATCTCTAGCATTCTTCTACCAATGTATCCACTGTCCCTCCTCTGCACATGTCCAAACCATCTCAATCTGGCTTCTCTAGCTTTTTCTCAGACCTTCCTGTCTGTGTTGTCCCTCTAATGACCTCATTCCTGATCCTGTCCATTCTTGTCACTCCTAAAGAGAATCTTAGCATCTTTAACTCTGCCACTTCCAGCTCTGCTTCCTGTCTTCCTGTCTGCTAGTGTCTCTAAACCATACATCATGGCTGGTCTCACAACCGTCCTGTAAACCTTTCTCTTCACCTTAGCTGACACTCTTCTATCACAGATCACTTCTGATGCTTTTCTCCAGCTGTTCCATCCTGCCTG